GCACCAGAGCCATCAGGTCAAGGCCAGCCAAGCGAGGTGAGCGTGGGGTGAGCCCAGTCTGAGCGCTGCATGCAGGGGAAGGACTGCCCTGGGAATTACTGGTGGCCAAACAAAGCCCAACGCCCCTCTCTTGCTGCAGCCAGCCCTCCCGCCACCTCTCCCCGCAGTGTTCCCAGCAGGCAGGTTTGAGCTGTGGCGATGGGGTGGCTCTTTCTGCTCGAGGTCAAGATAGCTAGCCATGTGCTCACACATGCAACATTCAGTATAGGTAAGGTGCCCACGTGGCCCTCGTAACTCATCGGTGCAGCAGAGATGATGCACAGTTCTGCAGGGATGGTGCAGGACCACTACCAGTGGCTGCAGCCCTGATTTACTGTCTAGCCAGGCATGCCAGCAAGAGCCGGTGTCTGCTGTCCATTCTGCCGCAACAGGCCAGGGTGTCACGCCCCGCTCGTCCACAGGTCCCCCCTGCTGAGGGGGACAGGAAGGGAGAATGACTGTGGGAGACCACGGGAGAGGTGAGCTGTGCCTATTGCTCGGCAATGGCTTGTCTCTGGAAACTAAAGGTGTTTTTCTGGGTAGAGTCATGTCACTGAGAAAATGCCCAACCCTTTTTTTAGCCTCTTTCATCTCCGAGATGCCAAGAACGTAGGCGTACGTCTTGTGGCTTCCCCGGCAGTGCGGGACCAGGAGGGTTGATGACCCCGGCAGTGCAGGACCCGGTGGGTTGGTGACCGCAGCAGTGTGACACCCAGGTGGTTGATGATGATGATGAGAGGGTGTGCACACCCCCTGGTCACTTGCACAGGGAGCTGAGAATGGTCCCTGTCCTCCCTGTGGGACTTTGTCCCACCTGGTCACTGTGGTGGGCACCCGGGACTGAGTGGTCGCGAGGACCTCTCGGCTGACCCTAGTGCTGGTATATGCTAACAGATGAATAGCTCTTTCTTTGCAGAGGAAAATACGTGTGTCCTTTGCCAAGGTATTTTTTGTGTCTTGAAAAAAGAACCCGTCTCCTGCTGTAACAGGGAGGGGGAACAGAGCAGAGTTTATTTTAAGGTACATCTGGATTTCATCAGTAGCAAACGCCTTGAACTCTGAGAGTGAGATGAGGAGCCCCCAGACCACCGGTTTTCCTTCCCCTCTCCCCCTCACCTTTCCCAGCACGGCCCTAGAAGTCTTGGAGGGTTTAGGGGACCATGGAGGGACGGAGCGGCCGTTCCCTGCAGAGCCTCACTGAGAGAGCAGATAGAGTCATTTAAAGGAAGCACTGCAAGCTGCTGGAGTTGAGTCAGGGTGTAAAGCAGCCTGGCCCGCAGTCAGAGACCGATCTCAGCCCTGACATGGCAGAGAGCTGGGTGTCTCTTCTGGGAAAGTGGGCTCTTGTTGTGGGGTCATAGGACGCAGGGAGCTTTCAAAGAGAAAATCACTTCTGAGCACTCCCTTCCTCCTTGAGGCCACCACACGTTGCATGTTCAGGATCCAGTGTCCGCCGAGAGAGCGGAAGCCCAAGGAGCGATCTAGTCCGGCATGGATGGGGAGCTCAGCGTGATCGAGTTCCTTTGGGAAGTTCTGTAAGGCACCGCTCCGAGCGGTCACTAAGGCATTGATCTCTGGGTCTTCTAGCTTTGACATGAACAGTTGGCAGCCTTTTTCCTAGACGAGCCAAATCTCTCCATGGGGCATAAACTGAGCCCTGCAGGTCACTAATCCTTTCCTTTCTCCTCTTGGTATTCTCAAGCCAAGAACCCCTGGCTCAAAACCCTGAGCAGTAATAATTTCTGCCAGCTCTCTGATCTTGCTGGTCACGGAGCTCTAGCAAAGATGCTCTTTACTGCTGCGAGGGCAAGTGGTCCCCTGAGATGGCCGAGGAGGCAAAGGGGAGAGGACAAATGGGTGGTGAATATGGCAGGGATGGAGCTAACCAGGGTAATGGACGGGCTGGGACAAAACCCATGTCTGTCGGTACCTGGCACCGCTGGCTGGCAGCAGCCTGCAGCATGATGACACTTTGGGCTTAGCTGGACTCGCTTGGGCTGGGGTTTCCCCCCACTCTATCCGTGTCTAAGAAGGGCCAAAGCCTGCCAGGGGAAGCTGTGCCCCGTGTCGTGGCTGTAAAGGTTCTTCAGTGACGACCCCCACCTTGGGCCAGGGCTCGTCAGCTGGACTCGGTGTGGGGATGAGTGGGAAGGTCTGTGTCTCAGGTTTAATAACCAGATTAGTGAAAAAGAGTAATCTGGATTACATCTGGGCTGGCAGAGAGGGTAACGCAGAGATGCGTGTTCCAGCCCCGTGGCTCAGCTCCCCCAGGACCCCAAGCAGGTTGCTGTGCCTCTCTGCCTCACTGCACAGTCTGTGGTGAGGGCAATCGTGTCACCCCCAGCTTTGTCCCTTCTGCAGGCGCTTGCAGCCTGGTGTGAAGGAAAGACAAGCTGGGCAGAAAGCCCATGTAAACTAGGGCAAAATATGGCACGGCCAGCAGCGCGAGCCCGGCAAGGTCGCCTTGCGGCGTGTATAGCGCTCGAAAAGCCACCATACGTCCCAGTCTGCTCGGTTGCCCAGCAAACGGGATTGAGTCGAAACCCCTGTGCAAAGTTCCCGCGTGCAGCAAGAAGATGCAGATGTAAGTCCCGGGGATGCTCGGCAGGAGGGCGGGGGTTTTAATTAATGTATATGTAGTGGCTTGGTGGGTTGTACTGGGAGACCCCTGGTGGGGTGAGCTACCGAGTCTGACGTGAGCCCGGGGAGCCCTGGTTCTCCGCCCTTGGGCCCCACGCTTCTGGGGTGCAGGTGCAGCTCCTGCTGCGGGCGTGCTGCGAGCAACACCTCCATCTGGTGGTGACAGGCGCGGCAGGGTCCCAGATACAGAATTGTGTCTCTGCTGTGGAGTGCCCAAGGCCATGGGGGAGGACGTGCCTCATGCCAATATGGCCTCGGTCCCAATCTCCCTGTCCTTGCGCATCACACTGCCGCAGACACATCCCTCTGTCCGGTGGGGACTGTGCTTGAGCAGGACAGCGATGTTGTCACTGTGTGTGATTGGGGCCTTACTCTGACCCTTGGCCGTTTACTGGGCTCCAAGTTAATCAGCAAACAGAGGTCAGGGTTCCTGTACTTGTGTGGGAGATGGAGTTATCACAGGGAGGCAAAAGCTGAGCACAACCCGGGTGGGGGACCATGCTGGCAGGAGACTGGGACCCCCAGGGGAGGTTGGCACGGAGCATCCCAGCAGCTAATGGGGGTCCCTCGCACTGGCAGGGTGCCATGTGGCACAGTGGCATGGCCTCGAGCCGTACCCTGCTCGGGGGAACGCTGAGGAGGGGTGGGGAGCAGAGGGTGCATGGCGATGGCAAGGGACCACGAGAGTGGCCTCCGTCCCCTGTACGGGTGGCACAGCTCTGGCCACAGGGGGAGCTGCCGTGCACCTGAGAAGGGAAGCGTCGTTCAGGGGGACCAGGGGAAGGGAAACTGTTGGTGCTCTGGGGGAAGGTACCAATCCATGTGATCCAAGGAGTAGAGAAAAGGATGGGAATCAGATGTGACATGTAGTACCCCAATGGCCAGCTCTGTCAGCGTCCTGAGCAGCAAAACCCTGGACTCTAAGGGTTCTTGTATCATTATCATCCTGGCAGGGGCTCACCAGGCAAGGCAGCCTGGCTGTACGGTGCCTGGGAAACATACACGGGCACCATACTCCAACACTGTCCGTGTGCCCTACGTGAACGGCCCCTGGCTCCGGCTGTGCCATAAACAGCAGTGCCAAGAGCATTACCTTCGGTATGCCACATGATTCCCGGTGGCATAGCGGGAGGCTGGACAGCCCCATGTCCCACAGACACTTCTCAGCCGGCCGGTGCCGGGACCTTGTCTCCTCCGAGCCATGTGGCCAGGAAGTGATGGGGATGCCGGTGGGGCCCCTGAGGCTCTTGGCATCAGTACCCAAAGAGTGGATGCGTTGAGTCTTCATGGCCAACCTCCAACAGAAGTTGGGGGGGGGGGCTTGCAGTCGGTGATATTTTCCCTCTCCCCTTTGCTGTACCAGCTAGAGGGGAGGGGGTGACACACACATTTGCTGCTGGAATGCTGTGGGGTCAAGCTGTTGTGGGCGTCGTTTCAGTGGCAGGCTTCGCACAGCGTAGGGAACGAGGGCAAAGGGACCAAAGCTGGCAAGTGAGTTTTATTGAGTGAGGGTCAGACCCAAAGACAGGGCAGCCAGGCTCTGGCAGGAAGCACGCCAGATGTTAAGGAGGAAAGTCGGCTATGAACCCTTGAGCCGCTGTTCCTCCTCCCCACCCCGCCACCCCGTAATGTTCTGAGGGACCCATGGGACTCAATGTGCATCTTTGTCCCACCGGTCTGCTGTTTCCAGGACGTGTCCCATCAGCGACCTGCCGGACATACACGGGTGAGAGGAAGAAGGAGAGGACATCGAGCACCAAGGGGTCTGACGCATCCCGAGGGCGAGCCCTTGCTGTGCTGAGGGGCTACCGGGAAGACCCGCGCTGCCTCCAAACGGTAGGTGTTTGCGGCTTTTTTCACAAATTACAGCTTGGAAAAAAATTATCATAGTGAGCATCTCAACTCGACACATCCAGACAGATTCCAAGATGGCAACGGCGAATCAGCGACAATGGCGCACAGCACGGACAGACAGAGACCCTGCCACGAGCCACGTTATTGTTCTATTTGTGCCATGTTTTTGTTCTATTTGTGCCACAGTTTTGGGTTTCTTTTGTAAAGCAGCAGCACAGTACCTCAGCAGAGATCCGAAGGCAGTCAGGAGAGGGAACTACAGGGGGACCAGGGGTAGGTCTGCAGCACAGAGTGAGGCTGTAAATCACCAGGCTGGGCACCGCCGTCCGGGGAGCTGGAGCGCTGGCTGAGATTTGCCCCGTGCCGCTCACGCTGTCAGGGGACAGGGGCTCTTTGTCCGTGGGGAAATAGTCTTGAGAGGCTGGGGAGGCATGGGATGAGAGTCGGGAGGGGAATGTCGTCCCAGAGGGGTGCTGGGCCAGGGGGAACCCTACTCGGTCTTGGTGGCTGGGGGTGCTGTGGGCTCCCCCTGGCCGTTCTCTCGGAGCTTGCGCAAGTAGTCGTGGGGGCCTTTGCCCTCGAAGGCTGTGGGGCTCTTGTAGGAGCCACCGATCTTGTCCCAGAGGGTGAAGTACTGGCCGTAGTTGTAGTCGAAGTACAAGTGGTGGTCGGTGTGGTGGGCCGATCCGTTGATGACGTGCCGCAGGAGGCGGGGGACGCGGTAGTCACCGTCGTGAATGGAGATGGTCCAGACGTTGACGAAGATGTAGAGACCCAAGTAGGTGACTTTGTGCAGGGGAAAGAGGAAGGGGTAGATGTGGTAGGGCAGGCTCTGCATGAAGCCGTCAACGGGGTGAAAGGCATGGCTGGCGAAGGGAGTCGCGATCTTCCAGAGGTGGTGGGGCTTGTGGAAGCGCTGTGGGGAGAAGGTATGCCATCGGTCCCCAAGGCAGGGGCAGGGCCTTTCAGGGGGTCCCCTGGCTGGGGATGGATGCGGCGCCCAGGGGCCAAGGGGCTTCCCTTGCGCCGTGGACTGAGACAAGGCAACAGCCCCTTTGGCTGAGCCCACCGCTCCCCCCAGGGCACGCGTTTCCCTTGGGCTGGTCCGCGGCCCCAGCTCCCCGGTCCCGTCTCGTACCTTATAGAACAGTTTGTGGTGCAGACCGCGGTGTATCCAGTAGATGCCCATGTCGGTGAAGAAGAGGAAGGACAGCATGCTGAGGAAGACGCCTGTCCAGCCTGGGGGAACAAGGATGTCAGGGGTGGCACCCACAGGCACCAGGATGCGGTGAGGGCTGGCAGGGAGCCAGGGGCTGGGGAGGCATGGTGGCCCTCGTGGTGGGAGGTGAGCATGAGTTGTGTCTGGGTCTGTCTCCTCAAGGAGAAGCAAGAGGGTTGGACAGTCTCCTGCAAGTCGGGGAAAGGGAGTTGGGTGCCAGTCCATTGGCAGCTACACCCAGGGAAGGGAAGGCTGTGTTTTGCAGCAGGGAGCGCACATCGAACAGGCTGTCACACCCTGTCCCCAAGCTGGGGTGGTGGGTGGGTGCCTCCTTCTGTCGGCCTAAAGGGAACTTTGGGACGTGACTAACAGATGGG